TATACTAAGTGAAGTAACACAGACTCAGAAGAACAAATGATGTATGTTCTCCCTCACATGTGGATCCTAGCACCAAATCCTTTTAAATTCCAGGTCCTTTTAATAAGATGATGCTATACAGCAGTCCCTTCTGCATGAAATAACTACCATCATCGTGACTTCAGCTGAGCCTGATTGCTAAACATCATCAAAATTGGGCTTGTTGACAGTTGTGCTCATTCATTAAAGGAGGGCCAAACAGGGTCATTGGACCCTCACTGGAGTATCCAGCCACTCTTCCCAGCCAACTGTGTGTAATTTGACCCTAATCACACATTATCTCCTGGCTTTGGGGAGGGCTAAAGTATACAATCTGGGAAAGGCTAGGAAGAGAAGGCATGGCCCATGCTGGGTAAAGGCTTTCCAGTGTGCATACCCTCAGGTCATTCATACACCTCAGCAACCCCTCAGTTATCTCAGTAAGTAAGCTCAATAAATTCATTGGTTCCCCAGTAAAACTTTAATCAAACATTGGCTTGACACGAGAACCTTTTTTTTTTTTGGGGGGGGGGGGTTTTTTGAGAAAAGGTCTCCCTGTAGCCCCAGCTGGCCTGGAACTCACTATGTAGACCAGGCTGACCTTGAACTAACAGAGATCTGCCTGCCTCTGCCTCCCGAGTGCTGGGATTAAAGGCATGTGCCACCATGCCCCTCATGACACTAGAACCTTAAAAAGGAATAAAAATTGCTTAGCATCCCCCAGGAAAAGAAGTTTCACAGCAGATGGAGAATGTATTTGTTAATGCTATATGTCTCATAATTATTTTTTTAAAAAGGAAATAATGTAAAAGATGTTGAAAGGATATGGGAATGGAGATATTTTCCAAAATAGGCAGAAAAAATGAGACAGCCTAAGCATGTGATAAAGGTCTGTTTAGGTTTGTTATGATATATAAAGGATGAGACAAAAATAATATACACATAATCTTAAAATGTCTATGGTCATAGTTTAGTCAACTAGTTTAAGGAACAAAATATATATCTAGTCAAGATTTATCTGAGAATATTTGGTTTTTTACCCAAGCCTTCTCTACAGAGCACATGGTAATTAAAAGTACCAGACTGGTGAAACTAACCTTATTGGATGTCTGTTGAATCCTAGCACCCACATGGCAGCTAACAACTGTCCGTAACTCCAGTTCCAGGGGATCCAACAGCCTCTTCTGTCTTCCACGGGCATTGCACAACATGGTGCACTTACCTACGTGCAGGCAATACATACATACACATAAAATAAAAAAATAATAAAATATATATGTTTTTTAAAAAGTACCAGACTGGTGGAACTAACCTTATTGGATGTTTAACAGCCATACTTTGAGGCCTGTACTAATCTGGTCAGAGGGACTTAAAGAACAGTTTTTTGCCCCTTGCCCTCCATGGTCGACTAAGTTCCAGGGGACTATGGAACATCTCTCAAAATGTCCTGTAACTGTGGTGAGTCACCTGTCCTCTTCTTCAGGGAGGCCATGGAGACCCCACAAGATTGACTTGAACCAGTGTCCAGTCTACAAAGAGGAGGGTCAACTCAGAGGAACCATCTCATTCATGCTTTCAAGTGAAACCAGACATGGTTAAGCAAGACCTTTGACTCACTTTCACATAGATGGAACTGTTTTAAAAGAAAAGAGCCAGGAGCTCTTCCCAAGCCCATGTGACCCCTGAGGAATAGATCTTCAAATGACCTTAAGTGTAAAAATAAATTGATTTATTTGGGCCAACTGTATGGTCTTAAATACCCTGTATGGTCTTTCCCAAAAGGAAAGTATAACAAAAGAGTAAAGTGATCAGTATATTTCTTTAAAAGTCCATGTGTATAGGGGCTGGAGAGATGGCTCAGC